AAGCCATAAATTAGCTAACCAGCAGCACTGATCTAGCAGACCATCTAGAACATGATCCTTAGTTGTTTTCTGGATGGATCAGAACCATGGATTTGTAAAGATCTTTTATTAATAAACATTCTCATTTGTTCATACAACACCCATTGTATAGTTGATTCAATACCTCCAAGATAAGAAGCACTTAACCCTTTATATAAACCAGTAAAACCTTCATGTTTAATAACTGATTTAAGACAATCCCATGAATTTTTATAATTTTTACCCTTTGATTTATCCAATTGTAATCTTGTTTTAATCAACCAAATAGGATTTGTAGCAGTTGAAGTAACAAACCCAGCATTTATACCAGAAACTAAATGCATCCAAGTTTCTTCATTTGGTTGCTGTTTATCTTTACTAAAATTTTTAACCAAGAAATCTTTACTTGCTCCATAGGTGAAAAAATTAATTGATCTTGCAGGAATAACACCAACTAAATTAGGTCCTAATCCTTTAAATAATGATCTAACACCTTCACTTTGATACATTCCTCTTAACACAGCCCCTGTTTCTCCCAAATGTTGAAAAGCTTGAATTAAAGGATTACCAGATTTAGGTACCTTATTATACATAGTATGATAAACATCCGATTGCAATCTAGTTTTAATAACATCTAATGGTGAAGTAACTACTGCTCCAACAGTACCACCAACACCACCAGCAACAAAATGAACCCAAGGTTTAGTTTCTTTCTTTGTAATAGAAGGTGATGATGATGATGATGATGATGATGATGTATTCATTTCAGAATTTGGTTTATCCGAGGAAGAATTCAATTCAAATTCAAGATCTTCGGCAGTTTTAAAAGTAGATGATTTTTCATCAGAAGCTAAGTATGGAAATGCAGCTTCTGCTTCTTTTTCTAAAACTTCTAACTTTTTTGCTTCTTTTTCACCTTTTGACATCCCTATTTTAATTTTAAGTTTTTCTTTTTTTTTAATTGTATGTATCAGTTGATTATTAAATAGTAATTGTTCAAGTAAATAAACCGTTTCAACGATGAACAAGACCAGAAGATATAGAATGAACGGTCTATAAATAAACTAAAGGGGGAAGAGGGTATCCTTAAAAACGTTTGTGATGTATAACAAGGTGAAACAAAAAAAAATAAAAACCTCTTGTTAAAACAAAAAAAAAATAAAAATCTTCACAACCATCATCTTACTAAAATTTTCATTGTCGGGAGTATAGTTCCCATCACGTGAAATATTATTTTACACATACTAAAAAGAAGAAAAATAAATGCAACTTTGTATATGTACTTTTTCTTTTCGTATAGAACAAATCCAATATAATATTCTATTTAAGTGTTTTGATGAAATTATCAAGATTATATTCTTCTTCGTATTGTGATTCGTCCCACAAGTCACCTAATTCACCAACAGCTCCTGCAGCTTTACCTGTAAGACCACCAGCAATATCATCTGGAATATTGCCATGAGCACCACTAGCACCAGCAGCAGAAGAGGAACCGTCACCTCCATTGGTACCATTCTCATCTTTAACAGTGTCTTCAATCTTAGCACTATCATCGACATCAAACAAGTCCAATAATTGATTAGTATCCATAGATTGTAATCCAGCATTTTGTTGGTTGACAATTGTCGATGCAATATTCATCTTAAATTTTTGCAAACCCATAATCTTTTCTTCCAAAGTATCCTTAGTAATCAATCTATAAACATTGACTACCTTCTTTTGACCCAATCTATGTGCACGATCCATAGCTTGCAAATCATTCATTGGATTCCAATCGTGTTCGACAAATATAACAGTATCGGCCCCAGTCAAATTAAGACCTAAACCACCAACTTTAGTAGTCAATAACAACACATCAATTGAAGGGTCTTCATTAAATTTACGGACAATCGATTGTCTATCTCTTGGATCAGTACTACCATCCAATCTCATAAATGTAACCGATGGCAAGTATTTTCTTAACAAGTCATTTTCAACCATATCTAACATATCTTTTAATTGACAGAAAATCAATGCTCTATGCTGTGAGATAACACCTTCTGCAGATATGAGTTGTTGATTCTTCTTCTTAGTACTTTTGTTGTAATCAGAATCTTGAGTACCAATACCACATTCTAAAAGCAAATTTTTCAATGAAAGCAATTTTGGAGCATGTTCAATATCATCCAAGGATGAATTTCTAGAAACTAAGAATTTATTGATTTCAGGATATTTTGGATGTTGAGGAGACATAACCAAAGAAGGATGATTACATAATTTTCTCATATACTGCAATGCTTGGAAAACATGAGTTTTACCTTCTTTCTCAGATCCTTGAACTTCACTCTTGATACTCTCTTTCTGACTCTTTGCAAAATCCTTATACAACTTACGTTGCAAGTCGCTCAATTCACAATAGTAATCTTGAATGATTTTTGGAGGTAAATCCGACAACACATCTTCCTTAAGACGACGCAACATAAATGGCAAAACTTGCTTATGCAACGACTCCAATGCTAAAGCACCAGCTTCTTGTTCTTTGGACGATGTCTTACTATTTCTACTAGCCGCGATTGGCTTAGCAAACTTTTCGTGGAAAACTTTTTCAGTACCCAAGAATCCCGGCATCAAGAAATCAAATAAGGACCACAATTCCAAGACATTGTTTTGAATTGGGGTACCTGACAAAATCAATCTATGCTCGGCACGAACACGTTTGACCGATTTGGATAGTTTGGAACCGGCATTCTTAATAATATGACCTTCATCCAAAACACAATAATTATAGTCCTGCAAGGTCACATGTTCAACATCGTTTCTTGCGACATCATAAGATGTAACCACAACATCAACATCTGGAATTTTACTTCTTAATGGAGCTCTTATACTTGGATTACCAGCATAGACAAGAACTTTCATAAACGGAGCATATTGATTAAGTTCTTGTTCCCAATGACCAGTCAATGATGGAGGACAAATAACCAAAGACGGTAATCTTCTATACTCAGCAGAACCTGTTTCTGCAAATTTCTCAGCTCTGATGTGATGGTCTGATGACATGATACAAATAGTTTGTAAAGTTTTACCCAAACCCATATCATCACACAAGATGCCGTGTAAGTGGTATTTGTTCAAAAAAGCCAACCAGTTAACACCTTCTTGTTGATACTTACGCAAAGTAGCTTTGATTGTAACTGGCAAATCAAATGGTTTGATCTTGGTAGGATCCATCATTTGTTGGATGAAATCTCTTTCTCTGTCTCTACCTTCAAGTAATTCTTGAGGCATATCTTCTGGATCCGGGATACCAGCTTCCAATGGAACTAACTTGATAATAGATGCAAATGTAGTAGTTGCCAACACACGAACATCATGGATCGGAATC